CGGTGTGCCCTCGCCTCCGCAGGTACGACACGGAGACAGGGCGGACTGTTCCGCACGGAGCTCTCGCTGCAACCACTGCGGCAGCATAGGACACTGGAGAAAGGTGTGTCGGACCACGGCCACCAGGATGCCTACTGCAATCCGTCGACCTCAGTAAAGGGAACTCGGTCATATTCGTCACAAGCCATAGGTCGTAATGCTCATCCCGGCCGTAGTGCTTCGCGGATGGAGATAAATTGGCGGCATGGTGATCGGGCGCGAGCGGACGAGACCCGGAACAGGAACGAGCGGATGAGACACCGAACAGGAACGAACAGGAACGCAAGCAAGACGAGTTATTTACCCGGCGACGGACAACCGGATTCATTTTCACGAACCGGGCTGAACAGTGTCTACCAGAAACGCATGGCGGGAAAGGACGGTAATGACTTGCGACTGTTTGTAAAAACGGATTTTTTTTGGAGTATATGAATGAGGTGTTTGAGTGCAGGTGCCTGTGTTGAAAGAAGTGTGTTGCTTGTGGGTGCTGTCCTGACTTGTGAGGTGGGTGGCAAGCGGGTGGATATGGTGAAGGCTCTTGAGTCTCTGAAGCCTTGGGATGAAATGAGTGAGGTGATGGGTGCTGGTTTTAAGCTTATCGCGCAAGTCCCCGACCTGGTAGTTGGGTTGCCCGGAGAGGTACACGAAGAACTGTCGAAAGCGGAGCTGAACGCCCTGCACGCCGCGGTGCTGTTCGACCGGCGACTACGTGCCGTAATTATCGTGGCCGGGAGCCACTGTCTGTATGCGTTGGAGCAAGTGATTCAGGCACACCCTGATACTTGCGGAATAACACCCGAGCTGGGGCACGCCATTCGGGAATGGGTAACGGCGTTTCGGAACCGCGTCGGACCGGCGTACCACCCCTACCCGGCTACCGACGCTACCCGAGTCGCAGACCTAAAGTTCTTTCTACTGCGGCTTTCCCGAGTCTCCGTAAGAAACATAAAACACTTCAATACATGCACCATACCCATCCTCCAACCCTGCAACCCAGACGCTGTCTTGCCCGATGTCTGGCAACGGGCCCAAGCCGAGCTTGGGTCCGTCATTGAAGGGGAAGTGCAGGAAGTCTCAGCCGTGAGCTCGGACGAATACAAACAAAGGATGGGACCACTAGCGATAGCCGGCCTCGCCGCTCCGAAACCAACTACTGCTCCGGTGACTCGACATGTCCATTTTTCATGACGGGTTTTTGAAAAGAACTCTGTCTGGTCCATACTCTTTAAATAAGTCAAGAAGGCTCCTGATTCAGCCGTAAAGCCCTTTCCGTTCGGGGAAAGAGCTTCTGTAATAGGCCAGCGTGTGTAGGCCAGCAAGAGCGCTATCGGCAAGGTCGTCTCACTCCTTCCGATCTCGTCAAGCATTCAGTGCTGGATCAGCAGCCCGGCGGCAACGCACGTCTTGCGCTTTTTGGCTGACGTCGGATGGTCTTGCACTTCTCGTGTACAGTTAGGCAACAGGTCTTGACCTTTTCTGGGTGGGCCACCGGAAAGCGAGCCACCTTCGAAAAAGTCTTTCTGAAGTTGGCCTTCCTGGAGCGGGTGCTTTTGGAGCGGCTCGTTTGCTGAGACGTCCGCGGACTGCTCTGCGGACTGCTCTGCGGAGCGATTAGAAGCTATCAAGTTGACCTCCTCACGGGTCGTGCTGGGTTTCAGGGCGAAGAACTGCTCCGCTGTAAGAGTCGGCAGGTTCGAGAGCTGCAGTAACAAGTCGGTTAGGTCTTTTTCCGTTTGCTGGGAGTTCATGGAAGACACTCGAATGTGGTTGCGGCGGTCGATCTGAAGACAATAGAAGTATGAGCGTGGGGCAACTCGCAGTTTAGTGACGCAGAACCGGGCGAGCTTGCCGACCGATACCCCGGCAAGTTGTAGCAAGCAGCCCGTGAACCAAAGACGGTTTTGTTTGGGTCGAACAGACATCTTGACGTCGTTGAGTAAAGCGTTTCTAATTGCGGTATGAACTTCCCCCAGGGGGGCAACGAAGTGTAGGAGAAGAATAGCACCCAGTTCGAGATATCGCAGATTGCAGTTCGCTACGTGTTGAGGGCTGATCCTCCTAAACCGCTTCCACGCCTTCTCCTCAACCACCTCGCGCAGCGCGGTGTGCGCGCGAAAGTCATCAGAAAAAATGCCGATCTTCCTGCTTGTATTGGTCATCGTTCCGAGCGTCGGAATGTACAAAGGAAAGGATCGCTCAGGATCTTCCCCACCCGTCGTCCACTTAGACCGCTCTTCAGCCGGCATTTGGTAGTAAAACTGGGACCATCGTCGCGCGCACTCCTGACTTCGTGCACTACGGCCTGCAGTCACGTCCTGCATCAAAATGTTGAATTCTGACTCGTTTAACGTCCGCCAATAATTACGCACTAGATATAACTCATTGACGCACTCAGATGGGCCACAACCCAGCTTGATACTCAACAAGCAACTCAGCCATTCTGAACTCCCTCCGCAAGTACTCCATACAGTCCGCATTTTAACCCCTCGAGAATAGGCTTCTTAAAATGCCCCTTAACCAACCGGGACCCGGTGCATCTGTCGATTCGCCAGGTAGGAGGACCACAACTATAACTACAACACACATCGAGGTCCGCAGCTTAAATCCACACTATGGCAACTCCCGCCCTTGCGTCTCATGCGCCTGTGTGCTGTGTGTCCTGGTTGTTTATAACGGATTGTTCCAGCATGGGAAGTTCGTACAGGCTCCGTCACGAACGACTTTCAGTGGCTCAATTTCAGGTTCGTAGGAAGATCCAAAAACGATGACAGTGAGTATTTTTTCGGAACCAGCACCGGCGTGGTCGGGGAATTGTTGGATACCGGCAAGAAGCTCGGGTTTAACTCGCTGTAGACGTTGGGATATCATTGGCGGCGTCTTTTATGCTTCCACCGAGTGTGCAGAGGCCGGGAAAGATGGAAGCATAAGAGGGGCTGAGTCGTCCGTCTCTCACACACCCAAGTAGCTCCTCTATGCCGCCTAGCGAGGCGTTGCCATTCCCTCTTCCCCTTCCCTTTCCCTTTCCCTTTCCCTTTCCCAAACAAAATCTGGCGCAAATAAACATCCACGCGACAAGAGACGATACGGACGAGCCAGGGGGTCGGGTCATTAATCGGCCAGCATAAAATATATTCAGTGTCTTAAATTTTCTAAATGGCGATCCCCACTTTGAACTACTTCGACGGCCCGGGTCGTGCCGAGGCGTCTAGGTTGGCGTTCCATGTTGGAGGTGTGGAGTTCAAAGACCGCCGCTTTACGCACGAGCAGTGGGGCGCAGAGTACAAGGCGAAGGCGCCGACAGGCCTTGCTCCTTGGCTCGAGCTGGAAGATGGGTCTTATATTGTAGAGAGCAAGGCGATCTTGATGTACGCTGCAAACATGGCAGATCTTATCCCGAAAGATCCGGTAGAAGCGGCAGTGGCTGAGCAGGCCTGCGGCATCATGGAAGCTTGCTATGGTCCCCTTAAAAGCCTATACATGAACACAGAAGTTGAGAAAGCGAAGGTTGAGCTGGCTGAAAAGCTTAGTGTTGCCGACAAGGTGATTGCCACTAGGCAGTCGGAATCAACTGGCTTTATCTCCAACGCCGGATTTTCTTACGCCGACCTGTTTGTTTTCACATTCGTCTTGGGAGTGACTACGCGCTTCCCGGATGCCATGAATATCGAGGATTATCCCCACCTGAAGAAGGTCTACGAGGCTGTCAAGGCATACCCGAAGGTCGCTGAGTATTACAAAAGCCGACAGTAATTTTCCGTACAGAAACACCTAAGACTTGATGAGTTTTCTGAAAGCTTCAGTCAGGGGTTACGAAGCATCGGTCGACTTCGGTAGAGGCCCCTTTTTTTTTTAAGGCACCCCATTGGCACGCAAACGGCCAGCGAACAAGGGACCGGGGCAGCCGAAGCGATCAGGGGAAAGCGGGCGCCCGGGGAATCTGGCCGCGACCCGTCAGAACTGTGGTCCGGAGCGCCACGGCTTAAGAGTTTGTTGGACACGTCAGCAGTCAGAGTCCGCAAGCGGTCCAGAAGGCCGGACGGAGGGGGAGGGGGGGGGTTTATTTTTAGGAAATGATATGCGCAAGAGTCGGGATTGCTCGGAAGGTGGAAGGTCGGCAATGGACGTTGTACATAGTGTTGGGAGAGTCGCCATTTGGTCCTTTAAGTTTCAATCCTTCGAAAGTGGATGCACCTCCGATGACATCAAGTCCCACACGCGAGGAGGCGGCAGCCGCTGACGAAGCCGTAGCTAACTTGGCGCAGCAGTTGAGCCGGTTAACGATACGGTTGTCCGGGGGGGGTGGTGCGGAAGGTCTGCAGTGGCATCCGGAAACTCCTCTGAACCGGAACAATGTCCTTTTGGATAAGTCGACAACTGCGGAGTTGAATATAGTAACGGATGAGGCTCGTGAGGTGAGTGCTTTAGTCGACGACGTAAAGGAGAAGTTGAAGGATCGTAATCTCAACCCCAAACTGAAGTCGTACTGGACCGAAGAAGGCAAGCAGTTGTGGCAGGTAGTGAGCGAGCGCAATAGTGAAACGATTTCTGACGCCAATCGTTGTCTGGCCGTGCGCTTGTTGGATTATATGGCTCAAGACACGGGCTCGTCGTTTGAGGATGTCTGGAAGCGATACTTGCAGAACACTTGGTACAAAAAAAGCACGTCGGGAGAGCTGTGCGCTCTTTTCAACGTTGGAGACTTGCCCATCGTCAATGTCACACCCGCCTCACGGAGGCACGATGGCGACGTGGATTACGACGCCGCCTACAATACTTATATTACCGGGCCTACCAAACTTCTCGACTGGATTCGACATCCGGTTGGGATGAAGGCCTCAGCTGACGATTACTGCACTACAGATATTTACTATGCGGCCTTCTCCGTTAGATGGCATCATTTATATGTCCAAGCCTTTCCGATGCTCTCTTACACCAACCTGAATATACAGCATAGTTTAGAGGCTGTAAGGATGAGTGATTTTGACAAGTATAAAGGTCTAGACGGAAAGGACAAAGCGGAAAAGGAATACATCAAGTCCGTCCGAAAGCATTTAGACGGGGTGCTTCTGCAGGTTAAGCAACAAATTTTCGACAAGGGCAAAGTACGAATACTGGCTGAAGTGCACGATAAATTGGTCTCATTGAAGCATCAGTTTCTTGAGACCTGGCGGAAGGTTCCGGATCCTGGTAAGACGGGTAAATCCCAGCCGTTTAAATGCCTGTCACGTAAAAAGCCGGTGTCGGCCGCATCGACGGATGACTATGACCAGTTTGAATTTAAGGTAAATTTGGAAACGACCAGAATAATCCACGACTGGTTCGAAACAAAGTTGTTACCTTCTATTCTGGAGCGAGAACCGACAATAGCAACAATACAGTTGCCACCGATGGAGGAGAAACAATCTGATTACTTCAAGTCAATTGCGTGCGCCGTAGACAGTATGATAAGGTTCGATACAGATCCATCAGGTTGGTGGTGTATGAAGTGGTTGTGCAACGGCGCGACGGAGATCGTAACACTGGGCGGTAAGCCGCAAAGTTCGCTCATTGAATGGGGTGCGGGTGGTCCTAAGTTGCTTCGTCCACGCAGAAATGGTAAACGTAGTGCCCTCGCCGAGAAGGTACCAGGACGTCACATCGCATTCCACATGGGTGACAACATACACTTACCAGCTTTCCAGGATTGGTACACACGTACAGACGAAATCCCTTCGGGTAGAAATACCAGGGCCTTTACTGGTCCCCTGTGCCATATCAAGCTCAATTCAAAAGCCACGGAGGAAAAGGACGTGTTTGGATTACTAACGATAAAGGAACTATTCGCCCAACGTCTCCTAACCAGGGTCTGCCAACTTGTTCGGTTATTGAAAGACCACAATGCATTCCAAGAAAATGAATGGGACTTACGACAGGGGGTGGATGTAGAAGATGAACTCGATGACGATGATGTAGATGACGCACTCGAACGAAATCCTGTCATCAAAGAAGCCATGTGCATGGCCTCAGGAAACCATCCCTTCATTCAACCACTTTACTTCAAGAACAATGGCCAGTTCCAACCGAATCAACGACGTGTTTGCTTCTCGAAAGGAATTATCGAACTCTTCTATAGTTTCCAAATGGGGTACGACCATCGACCAGCGTTCCTCAAAAAGAAAAAACGCACGTAGATATACTCCGTCTTTTTCCACTTCCTGACTTTAGGACGATCGATGAGAGAACACTGAAGCTCTCCAAGCTGGGTTGAATGGGGCACGGGCTGTGGGTCACAACCAACGCGTTTGGACAACTTCAGATCTACTGCTGGCTCCAGGGACGAGAGCTAGGACCGACCATCTGGAAGGTGTAGGACGCAAGTAGCACTCGCCCAGCGGCTTCGATCCCGGGCCGAAAAGAGGGGGAAGGCTCTTGACAGGAGATAGGATCAAGTCTCGTTGAGATTGTCCTTTTGGGTATGGCGGTCCAAGAAGCCATACTCATAGAATAAATTAAGTGCTGCAATTGATGAGGCGTTGCAGGCAAGGAGATCCTCCCCGGTACTTGCGATCATTCGGAAAGCAACCATCACAACGCAGAGGGGGTTCTGCTTCACCTCGCCTCGTATGTGCTTGTTCCGTGGGCCTTTGAGCTGGTCTCCAACCGGATGTTGATAACCTGTCATGCCTCCCTGAGGGAAGTGGTGATCCTCGGCCACGATCAGCAGTCTTTGAGTATGGTACCGGAGTTCTCGGAGCACCTATCTGGACAACCGACCATCCCTGCTTGTGTCCGCGGAGTACTGATAGTATGTTCGGAGCACGGTAGTTGTTTAAGTATGATTCCCACGTGCTTCGGTGGCGCCCATTGCCAAGCAATTATAGGCATATAGGTTTCCGCCGTGTTCGAATAAATAGCTTCCAGATCTGGTCAGTCGGAAGTGGAACGCTTTAGATAACTGTCTTCGCGAGTAGCGTCTGTTGCGCACTCTATGTTATGATCGGCCAGCATGACTGACCGTATGTTCCGAAATCTGCCGTGGTCGTTGATGTACGGTAGTAGTGGTCGACAGTCGTGAGCCACTCGCCCTTTTACAACCCACGTTGGTGGAGTGAACTATTGCTGTATTAAATACAGGAAGGTGATGGTTAATAACCTTGCGTTATCAGGCCCCCGTTTGCTAGCTTGGCCCTGGGGCAAGTGTTGGGACATGCAATGCTTTACCAAGTGCATCTGCCACGTCCCTGCCTGGTCCAATCATAGGTGTGCCTCGACAAGGAGACTACTACCTCGACAAGACTACCATCCAGCAGTTGTCGCCAGTGATCCGTCCGCTGGAGATTGAAAGTGCCTAGAGCTTTCGAGGGTGAACGGCAGGACAACTTGTGTGTGTGATGCCCAATTACGTCGAGCCTACTTTGACCGCATTTCGGCTTGCGCACGGCATCCAATAACTTTGTATTGCCAAGGAGTAACGCATTGGGCAACCCTTGGCATTCACCGTCGAAGCCGCGAAGCAACTGCGTGAAGGAGAACGACGCACGGCTTGGGAAGCGGACGCTTCGATGCTTGGAGCCGGTTTCTTGTAGCACCCAGTATCAGCATCTATCCTCCGATAAGCCAGCCACCGCGCCTTCCTTCGCCATCTCCTTGAAAAGCCCCCACTCCTGCAAACTTCTCGACTGATTCTTCACTTGAATAAACACAGCACCCATTACGAACGCATCATACAACGCTCTCTGCGTAGGCCTTCCTCTGAACCGAGCGAAGTGATTAAAGTTGAGAAGGGCCCCAGGCCCAGCGCCGTTCTCAGTCGTACTGTCATCGATCCTGGTCCAGAGGTTGTCCACTCAGACAGGGACTTTTCGAGTGGCGTGTGCCATAACATCACTAAGCACAGCCTCGCCACGGCCTCGCCAACGAGTCCAGTATCAACCGCATGTTGGCCGACAGCCCTAACCAATTGCCGCCAAGCAACCGCCATGGTCTTACGCAAGTATCGGCAAGACGCCTCCGCCAAGTACGGCTCCGAAGGATACATCAACTCACGATTCTTGGAAACGTGAATCAGTGTGGCCATGTGACTGTGAACGGGCTGGTCGGCCATCTCGACGCTCGGGGTCGGCTTCATGGCGGCGACACACATGACTGCAGCAATTCCCCCCAGCGCACTGACCTTCAAGTTTAGCTTGCTGTTTGCCACGGCACACAGTACAGTGTTCACAGACAATCTCGGTGTGCAGTGCTTGGAGAATGCCATCTACAACGGCCTGCCAAACCGGGACAGCGTATGAGAGGAATGAAGATCTCTAAGAGGCAGCGACCAGGTGACTGTATCGGCGCATACATCATGTGCGCTTTCCCCGGCGGTACACTAGGGCTAATGTAGATGAACCGTGGATGCCGGTGCCGGCAATGATGGGCGCCGGCATCCACGGTTCATCTACATTAGCCCTAGTGTACCGCCGGAGAGAGTCACCTCGGCGGAGCGAGGGGCGAAGTTCTGCACCTTCGATTGCGTACTAGCAAAGCAGGCTGTAATTCCCTCGCCTGAAGAGACGAAACTTCTGAATTTCGGCTACCGCGCACAGTGTCAGCTTATCCCGCACGGGCCTTTAGCTCCATCACGTGGCGCAAGCCCATCACTCAACCTGCTCGGACTCCAACACTGGTTGACATGCGAAGTCAGGCGTCCGACTGGGCCAAGCTAGTGAATCGGCTACGCGGGATCGTACCTTCGAAGTTCGTTGATCATGCAACAGCGCGGCAGCTTCATCACATAGAACTAGAACGTAAGGTACCGAGAAACGGGTTTTGGACTCCGCAACCGCCCGGCTTAGTGTGTTCCTAGCTGAGGACGGCAGGGGCTCTTCAACCGGGTAGGACGGCGACCAGTGGTCCAGTTGGTATTGGGTATTGAAACCAACTGTCGGAGCTAAGTCCGATTATGCGGCCATCCGAGCAGACCTCGGTCACGTAACCAGCCAAACACACCACTAAATGGCTCACCACATCACTAGCGGTCCCTTCTCGGCAGTTCAGGATTCTCTCCAACGGGCTTTCGCCCATACTGATATATATACACATGAATTGCCTGCAAACCTCTGCGAATAACCGCGACTTGTCCCAGCCGCTTGATTGCGTTAGAGCTCCTACTGAGGTACTAGCCTCGTCATCAGCGGCCCCTTGCATAATTGCTACAACCTGGGCAGGCGAGGTACATCCAGGCCGCTGAATATACACGTTATTGAACGCCGCCTGACTATCGACTATCACCTGAGCAGGCTCTGTAGGAAGGGCACCCGGCATTTCAATCGGCATCCGAGGCCGGCTGACTAGTTGCTCCGCCAACTTCTTCAACTCCTCCTCCTTCTCCTCTACCACCTTCTTCATCTCCTCCTTCTCCTCTTCCATCTTCTTCACAACCTCCTCCAACTTCTTCAGTTTCTCCGCCATCCTCATCATTTTCTCGACATGGTCTAAAATAGAACACAGTGGCAGGAACGTACTCATAAGGGATGAAACGAAAGGGACGGGTTCCATAGGACTGGACGGGTTACCACGCTTGGTGTGTTTGGAGTGCAAACACGTTACAAGTAACGGGGTTTTTCACTATCGAAATTAGTTTCCCCCGTCCTTTAACTCGACGACCCGATGTTTTGCGGGAGACAGTCGCCAAAAAAAAATACTTGTTGGGGATCCATTCATTACTTCTGAATTTGTCTATGGCCATCCCTACTTTGTACTACTTCGATGCCCCGGGTCGTGCAGAGGCATCTCGGTTGGCTTTCCACATTGGAGGATTGGGGATCAAAGACCAACGTTTCACTCACGAGCAGTGGGGTACTGAATACAAGGCAAAGGCGCCTACGGGCCTTGCTCCTTGGCTTGATCTCGAAGATGGGTCGTACATTGTAGAAAGCAAGGCTATTTTGATGTACGCTGCAAGCAAGGCAGGTCTCATTCCTAAAGACCCGTTAGACGCCGCGACGGCGGAACAGACCTGCAGCATCATGGAAGCTTGCTTTGGTCCGATTAGAAGCTTCTTCATGAACACGGAGGTCGAGAAGGCGAAAGTTGAGCTGGCTGAAAAGCTAGCTGTTGCCGACAAGGTGATCGCCAGCAGGCAGTCGGAGTCAACTGGCTTTACCTCGAACGCCGGACTTTCTTACGCCGACCTGTTTGTTTTCGCATTCGTCTACGGAATGACTACCCGATTCCCGGATGCCATGAAGATCGAAAATTATCCCCACCTGAAGAAGGTCCACGACGCTGTTAAAGCACACCCGAAGGTTGCTGAGTACTACAAAAGCCGCCCTTAATTTTTTTGTTAGAAACTTGGACTATTAGACTTGGACAGAAATAAAGATGACGGACAGAGCCACTATCAGATACTGGGACACTGGGACATGTATGCATCCGTGGCTGTCAAGATCCGCAAGGGGAGGTTGGTTGAGAATTAGACCAGTCAGTCGAAAAATGGGTTTGCAACTCTGGCGGCAGATTCGACCTTTTGGAAGAGTTCGAAGAATTTGCCGTCATCCTTCTTGCCGTCGTCCTTTTGAGGGGCAGTGACCATGATAACTGAAGTGGGTCGAGCGGACTTGCAGGCTTTGCCCAGACTCATCTTATCAGTAACGTAACCATAGACAATGTTCTTTTCTTCGCATAGGATTGGTAGATGAGCCAAGATGTTGATAGGGAAAACGTCGGATGCGAGCAACACAATACCCCGTTCCTGCTTCCGCAACGCTTTGGTAACTTCAGCAACCCCACGTCGTATATAGCGAACCTTAGATGTCGACTTCTTGGCCACGGCCTCGGCCTCCGTTCCAAGCCCTACTAATTTGACAGAACGCTCCAGGAGCTTGCCATCAAACAATGGCTTCGCAATAGGGGATATGAAGTGCTTTAAGCCACTAACTGCCTCGGTCTTCTTCTTGCCCATCTTAAAAAAATCCCCGGCAAATTTCAACCCGCCACGCGGTCATTACAACCCGCCACGCGGTCATTACAACCCAAATTTCATTCCCACCCAAATCGACCCAAGTCGAGACCTTAGGTTGGGTCTCGACCTGAGGTCTCGACCTAAGGTCTCGACTCAGGTCGTCTGGACACGTCTTCAGACACACCAACCGCCACGGCTGAAATGAACGTAGATTCGGGATGAAGTCCAGAATGTAATCCCACGCCCTCGGGCCCTCTTCAGGCCTTGGACTGAGGTAATGGCAGGTACTTGACAATGTCGTACTCCTCAATAACATCTTCCTTGGCCTTCAAACCACAAAGGACCATCAGTTCCGGACGGAACATAAAGATCACGATACCGATCTTGACCAGCAGAATTATTGCCGCCACTGACATAGTCCACTTGGTTAGAGCATGTGACCAATGCGTCCATGCTTCCCAGCTTCGACTGAACTTCAACGGAGCTACAACAACAACCATGCACCACTCTCTTGTGCAGTACTCTGTGAAACCAACCACTACTATACTCTTTTGTGTGGCACGCTTACCCCAGTAAAGTATATAGACAAGATCAAGTAAAATGGAGCTAACAACGAGCGATAAGAAGAACCGCTGCTGTCTCTGTGGGGGAAAAAAGTGGGCATGGCTGTCGGAGACCTTACCCAACGTTTGTCCCCGGAAAGGCTATCATGCGTCCAATAGAGAAACAGAAATATAGGAAGGTTGTATTCCGGCCGATCGAGGGAAGACAGAAAACTCAACGCAGCTACTGCCAAAAATAGCTCCTTCATTCTGAGAGAAATTAACCAATTGTTTTTGATCGTTATTTAGGCCGTTGTCAGCTTATTCGACGGGGCTAGTTGTGTTTAATCGGATGTGTGCGGCAGGATGTGTGCTACCAGATGTGTGTGCGGCAGGATGTGTGCTACCAGACGTGTGTGCGGTTGACGTGCTGTGGTGTGCATCACTTGGGCGGGGTGACTGAGAGTGCCAACCCCGGGGGGGGGTCATTTTTCACACAAAAATGGCTCGACCGCGGAAGCAGACCCAGGGTGTGCGGAAACCGCAGCATATACACGCTCCGAAGAAGTCTAAGACTCGGAAGGAGCGTGTGCCCGAGTCGGACGGTTTTGTGGCGATAGGGAACACGGGTCATAAGACGGGTCAAGTTGCCCGGAGGCCGACGAAGAATTACCAGTCGTATGAGAGCGAGGATGAGGAGGACCAATGGGCTGAGCAGTTAGACAAGTCGGAAGACGAAGACCTGGAAGAGATAGGTTCTTACGATGCAGGTTTGGCGGCGGGGGAAGAGAAGTCAAGAAAGCCGAGAGAGGAACGGTTGGATGCTGGCGACCCCTTCTTGGGTCGAGACTCTTGGGGTCGATCGATTCGGAACTTTTATGACGAGGAGGGCTCCGAGGGCTCCTCCAGTGAGGCCGAAGATGATATGGCGCGAGCTCTTCAGGAAGCCTTGGCCATTCGGCAGAGCCATATGGGCACGGTGGCCGCAGAGGACATGGGGTTCAACGACTACCTGGCTCTGGGTGCTCAGAGCGTAACGGAGGGGGAGACCAAAAGCGTCAACGACGAGAAGGTCGCTTTGGATCTTTTGCTCACGGGGCTCTCAGGAAGTGCCCGGGAACCAGATAGTGCTCGGGATGCGGAACGGAATCCTGCAGCCCTAGAGCTGCTGCAGCACTTGTCTGAGGAATATAAAGAGCTGAAAGAGCGAGTCAAAAAAGAGTCTATGCCTGCTTTGCAACTGGCTGCATTCACAGACAAGGGTCCGAGACCGACCGAGGCTTGCATGGACCTTCTCGCCTTCCAGCTCCAGATCTGTCTTTGGATGGCTAGCTTCTTCAACGGATGCGCCGCTGTCGGTTTAACTCCCGAATTCTTGCTGCACTCGAGTGTGCTGACTAAAGCACTTAAGAAATACGCTAAAGTCCGGAAGGAAATGGGCTCGCCAGGTGAGTGGGAAGTACTACGGGACGAGCTTCGCGTAGCCCTACGGAACCGTGGTGACTCCGCCATCACGGTCTCCACAACCAGCTTGAAGGACAAAGTATATGACCGCCATGGCGACCGCCGTGACGACCATGCAGATATGCCGGGCAAGATGAGTGTACTGGAACGACGTGCTATGAAAAAGGCTGCAAGGTTGGAGATGCAGCGGAAGAAGGCGTTAGATTCGTTGCCGAAGCTGCCAGCCGAAATTCAAGACCCCACGAGCGCTCGCGAACTCTCCCGCAACATCAAGTCCAACCGTGGCCTGATGAGGATCCGGAAGAAATACAGCGGGCACGCGCGTGTGGCAAATAAATTGAAGTACGCGAAAAAGGTCAAGAAGCTCAGCGGACGCCTCCGAAAGGCGGACGAACAGACTGCAAGCGGAGACTACGCTGGTGAGTCCCATGGTATCACCTCGCACGTCAACCGGTCGCGGAAGCTCCAGTAATTTTTACCGACAGATTCTATCGTTTGAGTATGTCGTTATAGTGGTGTATTGCCACAGCGTAAAAAGTATCATTTTTCTGGGTTCTCGTCCTGTTGCTCTTCAACAATCATGTCGGCGAAGGTGTCCATAGCTGCTTTGCTGTGAAGGGGCCGGTTGCTGATTGCGATTTCGCGGTCGCACTCGGTCACCTGGAGTGCGATGGCGATGTTCATGCTGGCTAGCTCGTTGCTGATGTAGCGGAAGACATAGGGCAAGTTAGCTCTTCGACACGGGACCTCGCATACCCGGCAGATGGGGATCTTTTGTTTACCGCCGGCGGAGCGGGACTTGACGGTATCTAGACAGGGCGAGAGAATGGATCCGCACTTGGGACAGACGTAGCTGAGATGTCCGTCTGAGCAGTTGAGTAGGCGGTCCTGGAGCATGAAGGCAGCGCCGTGGCCTAGGAGGGCGTCTCGTTCCATTTCTCCGAGACGTACACCACCTCCACGTTTACGACCCTTGAGCGGCTGTCGCGTGAGATGATCGATGGGGCCAACGCTGCGGCATTGCCATTTGTCGCTGACCATGTGCCGTAGTCGTTGGTAGTAGATGATTCCGAGGAAGATCTGGCACTGCATTTCGCAGCCGTAGATGCCGGAGTATAGTGTCTCGTTTCCGTAGTATTGGTATCCATGATAAAGCAGGGACTTCCCAAAGAAGTCCACAGGGTTATCCACATCTGCGCGACTCGCCTCCTCCGTGTCTGTCAGGTACCGATTCCCACGCCGGGCCCAACCGTTGTAACCGCACTGGTCAATCCACCGGTTACGGTCGCGGCGGCCGCCTCGACCATCCAGCCAGCGTTGCTTGTGCTGTCCGGTACCCGAAGCGATGCAGTTCCGTGGATAGTCATCAAAGGGCGTAGACGACTGGTAGTCTCCCGTTATGGCTGCCACCTTACCAGCCATCGACTCTACCACCATCCCAATGGTCATACGAGAAGGGAAACCATGTGGGTTGAAGACCAAGTCTGGTACTATGCCGCTAGGACTGAACGGTAAATCTTCGGGTGGGTAGAGCAAGGAAAGAATTCCCTTCTGGCCCGCGCGTGACGCAAATTTATCGCCTAAAATTGGTCGCCGGATACAGCGTAGCGTTATCAATGCTCGTTGGCACAATACTGTTGCCGCGTAACGGCTACCACGATCGTTGTCTGGGTTGGTCAAGTGCACTTTCTCCACAAAGGCTTCCTCATCGTCGTTATACGCGTGCGAGTGTACGTCATCCGCTGTGCCATCCATCGCACGCAATCGGATGTCTTCCACACGATACAGCGAACTACCACGTACCAACTTTGTACCAATCGCCGGCAGCCCGTCCAACTCCAGTCCCTCATCGAACTTGCGTCCTGAAGCTGTGCGGTTTGCAAACACGAAATTCCGCATATCGATCATACGACATCCAGCCGGCGCCGCATCCACAACCTTGGTCTTGTACACACAGCCGTCGAAGGCACCACGTTCCATGGCATGCTTATTGATAATCATGGCATCTTCCATGTCGAAACCAGTATACGAAATCACCGCAACCACCGCATTCGTACCACTGCCGTAAAAGTCAAAGTCGTACCGCCTGTAGTCCCAGTTACGCACCAACGGTCGGTTGGGCGTCAATATGCGGTACGTCTTATTGTCTGTTCGGTTGCAGATATTATGGAATGGGGTCCCCATCGTTTGCTTAAGCATCTGGCACTGGTACATGTTCCTTGGCGATTGGTTATGGTTCGATAAAGGCGTAAAGGACGCATTAATCGATAGGAAGGACGTTGGGGAAACCTCTACGTAATCGTAGTCCAGCGGACACGTCTGAATCAATGCCACCTGCTCCGCTTCCGAACATGTAAGGCCGAATTTTTTGAAAATCTTCGCCTTCGCCTCGGCACTCTTACTCGCCTCTGTAAATAATTTGACCAGGTCCTTATACCGCAAGGGCTCCGGTTCCTTCTCGTTCTCGGGACGGGCCAACAAGCCCAGCAATATCCTCTTTTGCACCTCTATAGCGGCGTTGGCCTCCTCCACTTCCTTGTCTGAACATGCAATTTTAAGCCACGGCTGCGCGAGCGTTCCAATCCACTCCACCTGCCGCGTGTTGACGTCTCTCACCGGTCGTACCAGACGACCCGGGAACGAGTAGAGGAAAATGCCCTCGAACGCGCCACTCCCCTTCTTAAACGCGCAGAGTTCGGCCTGTGAAGGGAAGCCATGGCGGCCAGAGTTTTTAAGTCGTTTAAACGCCAAAGCCATCTCGTCAAAGGTCTCCCGAGGCAGCCGACAGATCGGCTCGCCGTCCACCACGATAGGATAGCTGCCTAGTGCGCCCGGAGCTGGCGACATGACTCGTCCTACCCCGCTGGTCTGGTAGCCCTGCGACTGGAGGAAGTCAATCACGATTGCCTTGAAACGACCGTCCGGGGGGTCGGCGACTACCACGGCATCCTGGGACATGTGCAGTAATAAACCGCAGCAAGGACCATCGGGTGTGTGCACGGGACACACGAAACCCCAGGTCTCGCCAACCAATTTCCGGACTTCCGTGGTTCTCATTTTGGCAAAGAACTGACCACGATGGATAGCACGGAAGTGTGCAATAAACCGATTCATATTCAACTTATCGGCCGTGATGGTCCATCCGGCAACCTGTTGCAGGTCTAGTTGGTATGTGCGAATATTTCCGGTAGCGCAAAAGAATGACAAGGCCTTGGCGGGACCTTGGCAAGTACGCATGACGATTTGCTCAAACAAACTTTCTGAACGTATAATGCCGTAGACGTCGTCTCCGGCGAGTTTAGCCTCTCGCACTTCGTTGTTATATGCCAGTCGTACAGCCTGGAGCGAATTCCACAAGGCGTCCTTGAGGACGGCCGCGAATAACTGCCCAGGTCCCAGCACTTCTTGGAAGGCGAAGGAGTCGACATTCTCAGCGGGAATAAGACCCCGCTTCAAACACCATAATTTCTGCCACATAAGGATCAGTGTTTCGAACTTACCGATCCAGCTTTCCGTGTGGACCAGTACGTACCGGTCAATGATGTAACGACCAGCCGTAGCATATGTTGCGCCCGGTGGCAGACGTTGGTATACGCCATCCCAGAACTGGTAGCCCAGCAGCGCCAGGTGTCGGTCTTCGTGCAAGTCCTGATCCGCGTGTAGAACGTCTCCTTCAATAAAATCATGCCATAGGTTGCTAATTTCACTCTCCAATTCCAAGTCTTCCCCAAGACTTAGAAGCTTTTCCTTAACCATCTTAAGCTGACAAGTAGGGAACAACGCCTTCAGCAGCAGCCAGAAGGGACATGTCCACTCCCCACGGTTAAGTAAAATACGGAACACACACTGATTATCCTCTGTATAGAACACGATATTATTTGTGCTGCTACCATCTGAACGTGCTGCTCTGAAGGCCACTGCGTACTCCGTATAAAACACATCACGGTCCCGTAAGGACTTCTTCTTTATGGCAATCGGGTAATTGCATCGTTGCTGGATTACGAAACGTACACCACGCTCGTTACCGTTCACGATAAAGTACCCACCCACCTCCTCGATGTCCTCCCCTGCGTAACGAGCCATTTCAAATGCACTCAACTTGCTTAAATGACATGCATCCGACCTTACTAACACTGGGCATACACCACTCAACACCGTCCGTTCTTTAACCTTCTTACCAGCACTGTTGTTCCAAACATAACTTATATACATTGGAGCTCCATACGTTACATGTGACAAACGTGCGTGCACCGGAAACTGACGAGTATCGCTTCCGCTATGACTCTCGTTGTCCACCCGTCGAGGCATACCTAACTCCACTCGAGATATAGACACAGTCAAGTCTGAAACGCGACAATTTCCCTCTTACCTTCCCTCTTACCTTCCCACCCCCCCCCCCCTTCCTTGTGTGTGCGTGATAAGACCTACATTCAGAAGGAAAGTGATGAGGGTCTAGCCCTGTGATTCTGGGGTCTTCCGTCACATCTACATACACTGGCTCCAAATGCTTGGGTATTTCCTTTATGTAGTGGTTTAAGAATAAATTGAACGACGCTATATGAGGATGTGTGGCCGACAGGAACTTTTCATTAAACTGAGGCGTTTCATATGTTGGCTTATGTGGCAGGTAACCCCTCCGCAAGGTTTCCTGCCGAATACCAACGTCTCGGGCCAACACTGGCTCGGCCATTGCGCTCCTTTTTAAAAACCTCCCTGATGACCGGGCTCGAGGATTACCTCAATTTCGTTCGTCCTTGTCTAAGCTCCGCGCAACTGACATACCCTCCTGAGGGCTGGGCCAACTATTTGCACTGGCTAAACAGTCTTTCTCAACTTCCAGTGAACCCGACCCGAGAAAATCCTCCTCCCGAAGACCCCAATCCTGGTGACCTAAGTCCGTATGTAAAGAATGGCGGTTGCCGACACGTCTTTATTACCTCAGGAGGCACAAGCGTCCCACTAGAACGTAATACAGTCCGGTCCATCGAAAACTTTAGCACGGGAAGAAGAGGCGCCGAGTTGGCTGAAACCTTTCTTGAACACGGGTGGAAGGTAACCTATTTATACAAATCCGGGAGTCACAAGCCGTATATTCGTCATGGGATAAGGGCAATCGAGACAGGAGACGTAGCAACCGTTCAAGAGATTATGGAGACATATACGAGACATCGCGACAACCTTTACCTTCTTCAATATACAACACTCGGCGAGTACTTCCACCTTTTGGGATACGTGCTCAATACCAAGGCGCAGTCTATTGTGTTTCTCGCTGCGGCTGTAGCTGACTTTTACATCCCCTACAATGACATGGTAGGAACCCGAGTACCGCAACCTCGTGACATCGTCCTGGCACTAGCCTCTGTATCGCCTTATAGCGTACCACCGCCTGATGATGGATGCCTCACCACCCTGGCATCACCACCCCTTGGTACCAACCCCCTTGGCGCAGTTGCGGTCGTGGTGCCACCACCCCTTGGCACCACCACCCACTGGCACCACCACCCACCGGCACCACCACCCACCGGCACACAGTGGAGCACATCCTATACGGGGCCATGGCGGGCCAACTCGGCACCAACCAAAACACTGCTTTAATCCAATTGCGTTTCAGGTCGAACATAAAATCCAGAGCCGACAGACGGATTTCTCTTTGCACTTATCCAAGACGCCGAAAGCCTTGCCGCTCATCCGGAAGCTCGCGTCCGGCCAGTACTTGGTGACCTTCAAACTCGAAACAGATATCGGTATCCTGAAGACCAAAATGCTTGAGCAGCATGCGACTGCCGACTCCGACATGATAGTTGGCAACTTGCTGGCAACCAGGTATCAGGAAGTTAGTCTGCTCTACAAATGCAACGACGGTAGCACACATCTCGTAAGCACACCCCTTCGGGTTCCCCCGTCCTGCCAAGCACCACTGCCTACGCACCTGTCCCACAGCACGCTCTTGTGTTCATTTTTGTCAGGACGATCGACCCCAAGCCCTGAGGTCGGCCGACATCGCCCGGCTGGTTATGGAACATGCTTCGGCAGGGTAGACCAGCACTGTTTTCTTCGATACATCGGTGGCGGTGAGGCATGGGTGGTGAGGCAGAGGCATGGATGGTTTTCTTATTGGTTGGTTGTGTCCCTATAGTTGTGTCCCTATGGTTGGGTCGTGTGTGTTGAGGGGCGTGAAAGAGTGGGTAAAAGTTTTTGTCAAAGAATATGTCGGAGGATTTAGCGCCGATGGGACCGAAGCCTTCGCTGCACCGTGCGATCTTGAAGCCAGTAGCATCGTCAGCGGTGGCGGCAAGTACGGGTGCTGCTTATGATACACCGGAGGGTGGTGTGGTAGAGGACCTACGTTTAGAATTTGGGAGTCCGGCTAAGATGGTGGAGTTTCTAGCTACACATCCACGGATCCGATTCGTGGATATCTGTTTCAATGATCCGATAGGTCAGTGGCACCATTGCACTTTTTCAGCGGAGTTCATTACGGAAGAGAACTTGAGGGCAGGGTATGGTTTTGACGCGTCTTCCATTCCGATGTTCGAGAAGATTGAGAACAGCGACTTCGTGATGGTACCTGACGTGAGCACGTGTTTCCTGGACCCATTTGCGCACTTCCCGACACTCCAATGTGTAGCGGACATAGCAACACCACTGGGGTCAGACTATGAGAAGTGTCCACGTCGTGTATTAAAGCGAGCTGTGGACTATCTCCGTAAGTCGGGCGCGGGTGAGAAGGTTTATTTTGGACCGGAAGCTGAATTCTTTGTCTTCAACGACGCTGAGTTCTACGTCAACGAGAACTGTGTCGGTTATTCCCTCAACGGTGATGAAGCTTACTGGAACGGGAAGGGCGGGGACCACAACCTGGCACATCGAGCACAGAAGAAACAGGGCTATATGACTTCACGACCAATGGATCGCATGGCCAACCTGCGTTCGGAAATGCTGCTGGTGTTGCAGCAGCTCGGCATCAACACGGAGAAACACCACCACGAAGTGGCTACTTGCCAAATGGAACTGAATGTGCACTCGGACGACGCCCTCCGAGCCGCCGACCATCTCATGATGCTTAAATACGTGGTTCGGAATGTCGCTAACCGGCGTGGGAAAACGGCCACCTTCATGCCGAAGCCGTTGGCGTGCGATAACGGTTCTGGGATGCACTGCAATCAATCAGTGTGGAAGAACGGCGAAAACGTCTTCTTCGACCCGGAAGGCAAGTTCATGGAGCTGTCCGACCTAGCTGTCCACTACATGGCCGGTATATTGCACCACTGCAAAGCCCTCCTCGCCTTCTCCTGTCCCACCACCAACTCTTACAAACGCCTCGTGCCCGACTTCGAGGCACCCGTACATATCACATACTCTGCCGGGAATAGATCCACCGCTATTAGGGTCCCAAGTTTTGCCTCCAAGAACAGCAAACGCATCGAATTCAGAATGCCCGACGCGTCCTGCTCACCATACCTAGCCTTCGCCTCCCAGGTCATGGCCGGCCTCGACGGCATACAAAGAAAACTTGAACTACCCCTCATGGGCTCAGGAAACCTCTTCGACGAAAATAACCCCTGCCTCAAATATATAGAAAGAGCACCACACTCATTGGAAGGAGCCCTCGATGCCCTCCAAAAGGACCACGACTTCCTCCTACAGGGAGCCGTCTTCAGCGAAAACTTCATCCAGTCATTCATCAAATTCAAAAGAAAGGAATCCTCACAAATGAACGGACATCCACATCCCAGAGAATTCCAACTCTACTACGGCATCTAGCTATATTCAAGCTATTACTATAAACCAAGTTTTATCCGGCTGATGTTAAGGACTAATTAGGCACATAGAGCCCTTCATGTGTGACCATCATAAACAGGAGATGGAGGTCTTTTTTTGATCCAGTAGCGAACTACATGCAGCTAGCAACCCCCCTTACTGCAGTCAAGAGGGGTGTAGCCTCAAGGGCTACACTCCCTCGACAGCCCTTGGATGATGGTTGGTAGAGTTTTCGTTTTGACCCTGATTGGTCATTATTTTGTGAGATGACGGATGTTCCACTCATTGATAAAAATGGACCACTCGAAGAGGTCACGAATAGTGAGCGGTTCTCCCTGTCCCGCTCTTCTTTATTTGGGGAGTCTATATGTCATCAAGTAGTGGTACTGTCGCGTTCAAGCTCTGGTAAGGAAAGATTTGATAAGCTTGTTCAACCCCCTGTATAGTTTACTCAAGTGATAGACAACTACATAGTTCTGGTGTAGAAGAGGAGGTAGGTATTCC